TTGCTTTTTTGATCGGCATCAGAGTTTGATAGCAGATTCATGCCTCCCTACTTTCCTGTTAAACTAATCTTTCTTGTCATAACCTTAGCTGCATCACCATGTTGGTGGAACACTGATGATGTCTTTATGTTCATGTCCTGTATGGCTTAAAACAATTATGTGGGTGTGATTCTGGTTTTGTTAAAGCTGAATGGAGGACAAAGCCGCTACTTGTACATTTTTATCCAATGATTTCTTACCACAAGTTTGCTTTTCTTTGCAGTCAGCGGATGAATTACTTCTCTTCCGTTTGCGGTGCGGGGCAGGCGGGGTGGGCTTAGTTCGAGGAGAGCCAACATGCGATGCTGATGGGGAGCAACATATGAATGGGTGTGGACCTGTAAAGTAAGATCCGGTTTTAAATTAGATTTGATTTTACACTGTTATGAAAAAAAAAAAAAAACATTTAAAGGAGACTTAAGAAAACTGAAATTCCTTATATTTAAAAATATCAGTTTTTCTGTTCTGAAGTAAAATAGTATAAACTCAAACAGCTCAGAAATAATTTGATTTATCTATAACTTTTATAACACTGATGATCAAAAAAAATGACGCCAACATGGGTTTCAGAGCATCTATGCCAGCTGTGAAGATTTTGACAAACTCACCCGTTCTTCTGTGAGCCGCGGCGTCCTTACACTGCTCTGTTCCTCTGGGTGAAATGTATCGCACAGATGTTTCCTCCAAGTACTGGTCAACAGGATCTGGGCACACTGGACACAACTTAGTTAGTAGCTGATTTGTAAAGGTGCTGTAAATCCTCAGACTGACAGTGTGCAGAACTCAAATGCACAATCCATATTTTTTTTTTTACAGTCAAGTTTTAGTTCAGTTTAAGAAAAAAGTAATTGCAAAACAAAATAAAAAAACAACAACATATGAATCAGATCTTAATCCAGATCTGAACTGGTTTATGAATCAGATTTGAAACAAATCTCTTATATATGCATTTGGTATAATCAAATAAAAAACATTAAATCAAACACAGATAATATATAATATAGAAATGAAAAAGCTGCCATTTCAGGTGCGCCCAAAAAGTTCAGAATGGGAAACAATGCACTTGGAAAAAAATGGACGCAATATTTTCGTTAAAAAATCAGATACATCTGAATGTCTAAAAGCATCTGTCACAGTCCTGGACCTCAATAGGCGTCAACTCGAACCTCTCCAATGAAATGGCTGTCGTAAAAATCTCTCTTCTGTTATTTTTTTTGCTCTTTCATCTTGCTTGAAAAGTTCGGTTATAAGTTCAGGCAACTGGACGTTAAGTTTTCTCAAATGTTGCCTAAAGTGAACTTTTCAAGCTCGACCATAACCTGGATGACAGTGAAACTTCACATATATATTTTTAATCATGTCATTTTATAATGTTAGTGGTGTTGGCTCCCGTTCCTTAAAGGACACCCAAAGCATGATTAGCCTTCATTTTCTACTCACCCCCATGCTGAACAACACTCTGGAGTACTTTTTTGATATCTCAAATGCATCTGGAGATCTGGGAGG